TTGGGCCACAATCAAATAATCGACGTGCGAAGCAACATTTGCACTTGCACTTGTTCACCACATTCATCAAGTGTGCTCGTGGGGCGTTCATCATGAGCGAACGAGCAGGCAAGCGAGCAAGCGAGCCCGAGTGCATACATTCGATGCGCAAACATTCAATTTTAATTGCTCTGTAGATACATGCAAAATGCAGCGAGAAGAAGAATTGTGTTGAACAGTTGAGTGTGTTTTTTTTTGTTCACGCGCTCGCTCACACCGCATATTGTAATTATCATAATTTTTACATTTAATGCCACAGCAAATGCATGTTTTATTTTAGAATGTAACAACAGTGAAAACAACGAAAAATTATTCTTTTCTTTTTTTCGGTGTTGGATTCAATGCTGAAGACAACACAGCTACTGTCAATAAAATGAATGAACAACTTATGAAACTGATGTGAACAAAAACCACTGACTTATGCTAATATATAGGAATCGCACGTGGTTACGTAGCCAGCTGAACAGTTACAGTCAACAATTCAATTATGAACAAGTCATAATAAGCACCAACCCAAAATTATCATTAAAAATATTGTGTTGAAATTGACATTGCAATCTGCATTCAAAGCGAATTTCCACCAGTCGTTTAGTATGGGAAAAAATCAATTTCTATCAATCGAAAGACTTTGAATCAATCGATGTAACCGTCTTGCACTCTTTTCCGGCCAAACCTCTATTCTATTACATTATATTCAGCCAGAGCTTGGCGGTATTGAAAAAAAATTCAGTCGAAATTTTAGGCCAACATTCTGCTACAGTCATTCATTTTTTCCATTGGCTCCACCGTTTGACCCCTTTGATAATTCCGATTCATATATTTTGTTGTTATTTTTAGAATGAGAATCTCGGAATTTTTCCCATTCTCTCTCGAAAACGATTCACTTATCTCATCATCACTTAATAACGATGATTTAGTGATCTCAGTCAGAAAATTCGGTGTTTGCAAAACGTGCGAATAGAAAGAAAATGAAAAAAAAAAACACACACCGGTTCGATGAGAGAGTGCAATGAGCGGTTTAATTGAGTTAACAGCAACATTGTAGTTTACAAGGGCTCATGCATTTAATTTAATTAATATTCACATGCAATCGCTTGTTCCATCGTACTTTTCTCTCTCGCTCAGCGGGGATCACTTTGTACATACAGCTCGTGTACATGCTATTCTGATCGGTTCGAATAGAGAACCCTGTAATTATTGTGTTGATGCACGCGCCGATCTAGACAAATCATGATCTAATTACATACGACGTGACTACTTAACATCGATCATATGGAATGGGGTACAGTTAAATTTGGCGCTGCAAAAGTGGAACTTAAATTCGCCGAGAAAAAAATTAACCATTTTTATTAAAATCGGTTACTCACTTATTTGCGGAATGATTAATCGAATTCCAAGTAGAGAAGGATGTTTTTCGAAAGATGATGAACGATATTGTTCGGACAAAGATGAACGGGGAATTATTATTATTGAAATACAAAGAGAAAACAAATGTGGAGAAGAGTAAGATGATTACGCAAAAACAACACATATTTTGGATGACACGCTGTTCACATGAAAACTGACCTACCCGAATCTCATTCGGGCCGACCGACTCAGTCGGACTGAGAACGACAGTTTCGTGTCGAAATCGTTTTTCGGTCATCGTTTCACGCTTCTCTAACTTTGAACAACCGCGTCTTACACAAATGGATTAACAATACTACGTATTTTGCATGCCATTTTCCTTCAAAATCTACAGAGACAAAATATTTCGCTTATTTCTACCGTCAGCCTTTGTACTACTCCAAGTGTTTGCTTTTTTTTAGTTGATATTCAAATCAGACCACATCCATTTTTTTCCGTCCGAATTTCGACTTGATATTTTTTCTATTGAAAATCAATATTAGTTCAATCAAGGGACCCAATTTTTTTAACAATATTTATTTATATTTTCAATTTGCTCTTTATAAAACACAGAAAAATTTATGAAAATGCATTTTCAGCATTAAAAATTTCACTTTCAACAACTAGAAAAATACTATGAATTGAAAATTACCCGTAATTTTTAATTTGTTCAGTTGTCGTTTCTGTTGATGATGCTATATCGATGACTAATAGATACAGGGGCAACAGAAACTTGGCCCAAAATGCAAATTCCATGTTTTAAATGTCAATGTTTTAGAAAAAACAGTTTCTATTCTTTGATTTCCTCTATTTCACCGCACAATTTATTTTTGTTTCAATAAGTAATCTAATCCCGAATTGAATCCTATCAGTGGATGTAGTATATTTATTTTGTTGAAACGAACACTTGAAAAAAAATCTTCACAATTCAATTTAAATTCAGTGTTCTAGATCGTTGACACGCAATGAAATTTGTTTTTGATTCAGATTCAAATTCACAGCATCGAAGTAACTGAAAACGAAAAAAAAATCAATTTAAAAAATCACCTCGACAAACGTGCAATTGGGCGACCAGAATTTTCCAAACTAAATCACTGTCGCTTTCATCAAGTCTTATTTATATTTTTCACGCCTTATTCCCATTCATTCATACGGTCGGTGCGAAAACAATACTTACGCAAAGAAGAAAAAAAACACACACAAAAAGAAGCAAAAGGTTAAAAACAAATGAAAATCATCCCACTAAAATCACCGGATCACCAGATGATTTTCAACGTGAAAAATTCTTTGTTTTACACCACAGCACCATATGCATGTGTACGCGCGCGTATTGGACGTGCTCTCTTGCTGTGTGTGTATGAACGCAAAGTTCCAACCAAACGCAATGTATCTGCCAAAAACTAACGACGTTTGTTTCCTTCTTATGTTATTTTACACAGTTTTTTCTGTTCACTCTTCTGTTTCGGTGTAAAAAACAAAGACAATGTAAATATAAGAAATTAGCGTACGACAACGAAAAGGCAGCGGTGTGCGATATTTTTGGCAACGACCGCATGATGAACCGTACATCAGAGAGAAGAGAGGAGGCCAAAGGGTGCGAAAGAGAGAATCATCGTCAATGTTTGCTTGAGCTAAAGCATGTGGCTGGACCTGTCATTTGTACACAATTTAGACTGCGAACAGCATAAATGGCAGAGCCGCGAATCCGCATCACGATGTAAACAATTCCATGCAGCCCGAATGCAGCCGAAGACAATGGGCGAGTAATTAAGAGATTTTTCCATCAGACATAGTTTGTGTTGAGTGTTTATTATTTTATTTTTCTTTCTTCATTCGTACGGTTGCTCATTGTATCGTCCGTTTGATTGAAAAGTGTCAAGATCCGCTCGTGCAACTCGTATGGAACATGCGTGCGTTTTGTTTTTTTTTCCATTCTGCTTCATCCATGTAAATTGCATTTATCTTTTCATTCTCACTTGAATCTGGTGGAAAATCCAACGGAACTGGAGAATCACAGATTTTTAAGAGAGACAAGCCAAGTTTTTCTTCTCTACCTTCATAAACAGTGTTAATTTGACACATTGAAATTGTCAGCCAGAAAAACCATGAACCTTTGCAGTTCCGTTTAAAATTACACTCACTAGAATGGAAATGAACTTTTCTAGAGAAAAAAAGAGCCGAACGAAACGGAAATGCATTTCATTGCTCTTACGAAACGAAAATCGATTCAAATCAACAGGGTTTTTTTTCGTATAAATTTTTTGTTTGAAAATGTTTCTCACCAAGGGGAGCATTGAGTATTCAATATTCGAAATTCGGTTATTAATATTTTGAACTCGAAAATGTTTTGAGACAAAATCTAATTCAAGTTGTTCAACTTAACTGTCGTTTTGCTATGATAACGATCGAAATATTATTTCTAAGTATTGCTTATAATTCACGAGCGCAACGTATGCACAGAGAAGACAAGAGAGACGGAGAGCGATTGGTTCGGTATCGCTTCTCGGCCTAAAGGCTAAGATCAAAGTGTAGTATCTGTTCTTATCAGCTTAACATCTGATAGTTCCACCATTGGTGGACAACAAATGTTAAACTGATTTTTGGAAACAGATGGAGTGCAGAAGCTTGCTTTGGCTCTGTCACGGGTTGGCCTCGTATTGCAGTACAGCGAGGAATCGGCCCAACAATCTCTCTCACAAACAAGAAAAAAAATCAAAAAAAAAATGCGTCAACAATGATTCATTCAATGCGTGGTAACGATCGTTTATATTTCACCACCGTTGCCAGTTTGTAGCAAAAAAACTGCGTTGATTGTTTCAGACATTATCTATTTCGTCACATTTACAATCACATTCATTTCATTTTAATTTCTTTGGAAGAAGGAAAGTTACAATCAACAGGCGTCTCATTCATTGGGGACCAAAATTCAATATCTATTCGGTATTTGAGAATGATTTGTTGCGAGTGTGTATTGGTTGTCAGTATATTCCAGATTAACGGTCCGTTTGTGTTGCGTCTTGTATTTTACAAAATTGTTAATGATGCTATTTAATTTTTTTTCGTCTGTATATTTTGATTTTCTAAGTGAGTTTCTTAAAATCAAACAAAACAGCGTGTGCTAATTAACTATTTCCACCGTATGAAGTCTAACGGCATGCACATCAGTATAGCTATGATTTTTTAAACGCAGTCGATTATCTCGACGATGGCATATGGCACACACACCATACAAATTTTATCAATACCGATTAGTTTTCAATGAAAAGAGAAAAAAAATCATAACATTCATTTTCATGTACATAATTAACTTAAAACTAAATGTATTCGTAGGAATCTGGTGGAAAATCAAAATAATGAAATTTTCGCCTGAAAACCAAATTCAAAATAGTCATAAACATTATGGTTAATTCTATGAAATCATCAAATCGACAGCACATCACACTCTGTGTGACTCAAAAAAGCAAACGAGGAAAAACGTATGAAACTGAAGCTGATAGAACGTCTATCTGTCGCTTCAAATCAAACACACAGTACGTTGAGAGTGTACGTAGACACAGCTGTAACGAAGCACTGAGTGCAGTTTTACACTCAAGCGTTGCTTATAATTCGCAAGCGCAACGTATGCACAGAGAAGATAAGAGAGACGGAGAGCGATTGGTCCGGTATCGCTTCTCGGCCTAAAGGCTAAGATCAAAGTGTAGTATCTGTTCTTATCAGCTTAACATCTGATAGTTCCACCATTGGTGGACAACAAATGTTAAACTGATTTTTGGAAACAGATGGAGTGCAGAAGCTTGCTTCGGCTCTGTCGCGGGTTGGCCTCGTATTGCAGTACAGCGAGGAATCGGCCCAACAATCTCTCTCACAAACAAGAAAAAAGAACGAACAAAAAAAAACAATGCGTCAACAACGACTCATTCAATGCGTGGCAAACATGAAATGATGAATTTTTATTCATAATTTGACATTTTTCCTCTGCTAAACTGAAGAAGTTCGTGGGATGAGTTTCATTTTGGATACGCTTATTGATTGATTATAGGTTTTTTGTTTGAACATAACTATCATCTCTTCCATTTAAATCCATAAATTTTTACCATCCAGCGACAACGAGTGCGTCGATATCGTTTTGGTATTTCAATTCTATTTCGTATTATTGAAATCCATGTCTGTATTCTTCACATGAAAAATTCTTTTTCCTATTTATAAACAGAAGCATTTTGCTATTGTTCTGTTTAAGTTTCTCGTTTCTTCAAGAATTTGCTAGAAAATGAAAAAAAAGACGGTCGAAAACTGGGTAAAAAACGACGTAAACGTTCGATAGGCACAAATGTTTATTCTAAATCGAATTTGGTCGTTGAACTCCCTAACAATCGATGAAATCAAGAGAAATGTGTGGAATTTGGTTCGGTTCATTTGAATTCTAATTTTTCTAAATTTAATTTGAAATTCTTTTCTCATTTAATTTTTTCATCAAAGTCACTTGCTATGGAAATTGATTCAAAATTATCTCCAATCACAACAGCCGAACAAACTGTTCATTCAATCGAATTGAAAAAAAACGTAAGTGTTACGTTTCTATAAGTCATATTCCGAAAATTCAACTTGGTTGTTCGTGGTGAATACAATGAAAGCATGATTCAAAGTTGGTTAAGTTTTCGTTAGATGGCGCTGTATGTGATAATAAGTGCTTTGTCGGTAAAATTCCGGACTGAAAATCCAATAATTGAGTTTGTGTTGAATACGTGAATCGGCTTCTATTTCCTAGATGGAGACTCAAGACTAATATTATGTTTTTCGTTTTTCAAAAATCAAATTTCAAAATAAATAAAATTTTAGATATAGAATATCGAGGGAAAAAAGCTTAAATGACCGCAGAATCCAGTTCAAAATCGTATGCATTGTGTGGTGCGAATGGCGGCCAATGTAGATGATGTTGTTTACAATATAGAGCAAAAATAATGATGTTAACAGCGATGTTAGATTGAATCAATTTAACGCCGACATTGAATAAATTAGCACCCTTTCCCGTGAGCACATTTGCAGTGGTTAACGCGCAGCGAAGATCGTTTGCGGCACACATCAAAAATGTGATCCAATTCTTGAAGAAGAATTGCGATGAAGAAGAAGAAGAAGGAGTCGAAGCTAAACACAGCAGAATATATATGCACATGTATTACGAACAAACTAACTAAAGACTTCGTAATGCGGCTGTGGAAGCGGAGAGAGCGAAAGAAAAAAAAGCCAACTAAAAATAGAGCATAAAATGTAAATAAAGGCGCGATGATGATGATGAGAAAGAGTGCTAAAGTGCTGTGGCTAATGTTGTATGTTTGATGTGCATCATTGAGGGAAAAACGTTTAAGCGTGCCTATTGTTTGCAACGTATTGCGCAAAATGTAAGCAAATGCAAGTGCATACATTACGCGGAACCTATAAAAATGCACACACTGCAACGCAATTAGAATATTGAAATGAAGAAAAGTCGATCGCGCGAAGCACAGCCAAAGTATGCATTGGTGAAGTGTGACGTTTGTTGATGGTGTTGTTGTTGTGCCGGTCGTCGTCGTTGTCGCTGCCGTCGTGCAAGAACCATACAAATGAACAACAACGAATAAGAAAAAGAAGCAGTTAATATCGTTGGCTTTGAAATATAAAATTGCTTTTGAACTTGTGTTTATTTGCACTTGTGTCGGCTTTTGGTCTAATGATTCTGAAAAGAACGGTGCGCGTCATAAGCACCACAGCAATGTAATGGTTAAAAGCATTCCTCTCTCTCTCTCTCTCGCTCTCTTTCGTTCGATTCGCGCACGCAGTGGGAATTGACGCGTTGGTTCAACGTCATTTTCACGGGAAAAATGCTGTGGAGCTTGAAACGAAATGTGCTCTCTTGATGCCCCTTCAGACTACTTATTTAATAACATATAATTTATCAATTATGCGGTACCATCGTTTTACATTTTATTGTAATTATTAATAAATCTTTTACAAGTAAACGTATAAATTACAATAGAATCAGCGATAGTCACACGGATAGAGTAAAGAATGAGCAACTCGCGAGCTCAACTGAATCCACAC